CCTAGCCTGCACGTCTTATATAGCCTACCAGCTGAGACAGGACGTTAATTAATAATAATAATAATAATAATACAGAAATCAAAACACCACCACTAGCGCGCCCTCAGTACGGCTTGACTCCCGCCAATTTCAATAGTTTGTCCGTCAACTCAGGCTTATCCAGCGGCTCAGTTCTCTCCCAAGGATCGATCTTACCATCCACCATGGCTTTGCCTTGTGAATAGATGTTGATGTGCGGCCAATGTGTTGTTGCTTCCCATTTCTCGAAGATTTCCTTCTTCTTCTCCAAATCCTCTTTGGATGCCATGGCCGCTGGTGTGTAACAGGCGTATATGATGGTGCGGATGGTGTCCGTTTCAGGGTATACAGCGTAATGCATCTGCCGTGAATCCCAAAGGATCAAGTCACCAGGTTCGGCGCAAACCTTGACCGATTTGCAGCCACGATCCTCATACCACTTCACATCGGAGTCCTGGAAGGGGTAGAAATCGTAATGAAGGGCTGCCAATGGGCCCTTGGTTCGGTCCGGTGGGTGCTCCTTGAAGAACTTGTCGAAGAGCTTAGCGCTGCCTTCCATGACTACCAGGCCTCCATCTTTAGGTCCAGCCTCAGACACTGGGAGTTTACTGTTAGTAAGCTGTGGGGTTATCTGAAAAGACGAGAACTTACGATTGATGATGCCTTGTACGCAGGACAAGCCCTGTCGCTCAGGCGCCTGATCGACGTGTGGCCATGGTTTGGAGCCGCCCATTTTTCCGGCGTTTGGTAGTGTGAGATTGATGGTGTCATAAGATACAATGAGCTCATTTGTGTTCCAGAGCTTCTCAAAAGCAGCCAGAACGCCCGGTTCCCTATGGCATACGATATTAGCAACTATCGCTTACTTGGACATTTCGAGCGAATGCGTCCAACTTACTGCCTAGCCTCCCAGACATATTTCTCGTGTGCAGCACAGAAGTTGAGGTACATGCCGTTCTTGAAGCTTTGGGGCAAGTTTTCCTTCGTCCATGTCTCTGGTTTGTTGATATCGAAGTCGTTGGGGAATGTGCCGAGCCAGTCGATCATTTTGTTCCGGTACTTCAACGCTCGCTCCTTGGGAACTACACCCTTGAGTACCACATATCCCTTCTCATAAAACTCATCCCTCCAGTCGCCGTATGGCTGCTGAACGTTTTCTTCGTCGTTCAGGTATGGAGCCATGATCCCAGCTCAAAATTAAGAATACAGTGTTTTTTGGAAGAAGTTTGGAATTCAATGTTCTGCTACGCACACGGCACTGCATGTAAATATACAGTTCTATGGCATCAGCAAATTACATGTCCAGGCGCGTTCCCGCCCGTTCACGGCCGCTCCAGATGGGGCGCCTACAAGCCCCAGTGTCAAGAAAGTGGGCCGCTGGAGACATCTCGGTCGAGTACGGGCGGGAATTGTATGTCAATGGGACCTACACCCCGGCTTCTCCTGCATCTCTCCAGCACCTCCACATACCGAGACAAGAGGCGTTTGCCACTTAGACAATACATGCCTCGGCCAAAGCTGTCGGTAAAGTCATTGCGGCCGAGCACGGTCAGGAAAACGAAGAACTAGACCCGCGAGCAGATATGTTTCTTGTCAAGACTGCATCGCTTTCCCGTTCTTGTGTGCCGACACATCAAGCAGATATCAGCTCTCCACTGAACCGGTCACGCCTCTTGCTTTCCAAGCCACCCATCTCGCCGTCAGGCCGCCTAAAGTAGGCGAGAATGAATACCAAGGCTTCAGTCCACGCAAAAGCAACCCTTCCAAAGAGTTACTAGGGTCGCGAAGGTGCTTGCGCACTCACTGGAGACATTGTTGTAGAACATGATATAGCTGTCAATGTCAGAGATGGATGCACACTATACTATGACATCTACCAGCCTCGCAGCAGTGACGGGCATGGTGCTCCAAAGGTACCCGCGATTGTGGCCTGGAACCCTTTGGCAAAAGGCATACCCGGATTGATGTGATGTCCAAGGTTGGTCAGAAAATCAACCTCAAATTTAATTCATGACTGACAGCTTATAGGTCAAATGAAGTTGCGGTGTTCTCTAGAGTTGTCTCAGTAGTCTTAAACGCTTCGAAAGGCCTCCTACAAGCCATACTATACATGTCCCGCCCCAACTTATACGACATCATAGTCTACGTCTTAATCCACAAGCCCGATGCCCAAGGCAAACCTATACTCGTTATTAACATTCCATAGCCTGCAGCCCTCTACTCTAAACCCTCGGACATCCCCGAATCAGACTATAGCAACCTGATGATATACCGCGGCCCGATGTGCATCCTGCGAACTTCGCACTACAAGATCGACCGCTGCGAAGTCGATACATTCACAGTACCCCTTTCATACGCACGATGAGGGGCGAAGGATGCCTCCAGGCGAGGTTGTGAAGCTGGAAATCCGGCTGTGTGCTATTGGCATAGACTTGGAGACGAATGAAAGCATCAGTTTTGGGAAACTTTAATATTAAATGGCATCAAGTTGCGTCATGTATTACTTTATATGCTTGCTATTCACCCTCACCCTCATTGATATGTGATAACATCTCATATGAAGGTCCTACGAAGTGAAGCTGCTACTTTGAGACTCATCACTTCCCTGTGGCATGGCCATCGTGCTTACCCGTACCTTCCATGGATCGGTCTCGGGAGTAAACAAACACACGCCCTAACTAACGTACGAAACCTGCATCCTGTCTCCCGTTGAGTACAGCCCTTTTCCCATCCACTTGTACACAAATAATACAATAAACAAAATGCCGCGCAGCGTTCCTGAGAGTGCAACTCACCTGGACGGCAAGAAGCTAATCAAATGTGAAGACAGTGAGCTGGAAGAAGGCGAGATTGGTCACTCCTCGCCTTCGGTACTCGGTGATTTTGACCGCATGAGTGTCGCCCCATGTGATAGTGCGCTGCACGGTAAGTACCTCATCTTGTCAATAGAAACACCACTAACAGCTCCCAGCTCAACTTCAACTTGCTTCTTACGAGTACGAAACGCTTGAGCAGCGCTATCGAAATCTTGTAACAAGACATGAGGAGCTGAGCAAGCTTTGCTCGGCATACAGAGATGTCATTTGCGGCTTCTCAACAGGTGAAGAGCAAGCACCCAGCATCGAGCAACTACGTGCTGAAGCTGGCCGCGAGGGCATGCGTGCCAAAGCCCTCGAAGCCGACGTGCTTAAGCCAATCATCCGAGAAGCCGGAGGACTGCAAGCGCTCGTGTCGCAAATGCAGTCTGTGCGGTCACTGATTGAGAGGACCGGCAGTCTTCCAGAGCTTGAAGAGCTGGTCTCAGCTGTGAACTTATTCCGCGTTGGCTTAGACAAGGTCGGGGGCCTCCAGGGTCTATACGGCCTCATGGCCGAAGTTAAGGATTTACGGGAGCAGCAGCTTGCGTTTCGAGAGACGAAAGCTAGGGTTGATTGTCCCAATGGACTCGCTGCAAAAGCAGCAAAGTATGACAGTCTTATGCAAGCTTTCAGTGCTGTCCAAGCTACAGAGGAACACACCGCTCCAGCTGGGACCGCAACAATTAATCCTGCACGAGCGACTCTCATTGCTTCTGTACCACTCGAGATGGACCCATATCGTGATCTGTATGAAGCTCCCCGGGTCGAGAAGCCACGCAACAAAACCGGTTCAAACAACATCCCCTTGGGACCTGCACGTGCACACGGACGAACAACCAGTCAGATTGATGAGCAACCATCGTTGAAGCGAGAACCGCTAGAAAATATGGAGGAAATCATCAGCAAGCGCCCTCGAGTCGACCTTGAACGTTTCTCAACTCAGATAAAAAGGTCCATGCCATCGTTTCATATACAAAAGCCATCATTGCATATACAAAACTCATCATTTGATCGTCACAAGCAGCCAACCGAACATGAAGTACCACGTTCTCAATCAAAACCGACAGTCAAACCAGAAGACCTCTACCGTACTGAGATACAAAGTCTTCGTACACACAATCAACAGCCTGAAATTTCACCCCTCTTAGCTGTCGCCACTGAGAGCATTAATTTACCCAAATCTATGATGGTTGGCCGTTATCCGATTGCCCTTTGGACAGGTGACGCTGACCCTCATGCTCCGGAACGGCCTGGGCAGATGAAAAAGAGCGGTGCTATTCCCGGGGAGCTAGGCAGATTTCTGGCCAGTGAGATTTCCAAGTACATCACTGGCGCGGTCGGTCAGCTCCTTGACACGATGCCGCCGAATAGGGACACATGCATACTCCGATACATTCTGGATGGCCATAGGCCTTCAGGCCAACCGCAGACGCGAAAGGCTTGTCCCTTGTGCTCATCAACATGGGTTAAGCATCACCGTCCATGCGCCTTGCTCCTCGAGGTTGACGGTGTTCGCACTGTGGTGTTCATGCCACTTCCTGGTATACCTGGTGATCACACATACTGGACCGAGAAGAACCACTGGGTAAAGGGCACTGAATAGGCAGTGGATAGGGTTCAAGATGATCGGTATGGCATGGTATGAGATGTATGGTACAGCCTATTAGCAAGTCAGAGACTATGGACATATTGTCGCAAAGGTTGTTACCCACTTGATAGGCAATTAAGTTTATGAGTATAACTCAGCATCATCTGGTCTTCTCATTCCATGCGTCTCACCGTGCTCGGGGAATTGTGGTCTTTTCAAGGCTGTGCCTTCCTTCAAGTAGAGAATCAATCTAAATGCCGCGTTGCCATTCAGATAGTACCGGTGTAGCCGTTTGCTTCTTATAAAGCCCAGCCTTTCATACAACTTCAGGCTTGCGGTGTTTGACACTTCTGTCTCCAAGACTATCTCATCGGCGTCGCGTGCAGTCATGGCGTCAACGGCCAACCGTACAAGCTTCGTAGCTATACCGCGGCCTCGGTATTCCTCCTTTGTTGCGAGCATTGCGACATAGCCGCGGTAGGTCCCTGAGCGGTGCGGTTCGAGCTTGCATGTGATTACGCCAATTAGGGTGTTGGTGGGGGAGAGCGCCTATCAAGGAAGTTGTTAGCGAAAGTTATGAAAGCAACAAACCAAAAAGTCTAGATTTGGAAGAGTACACATACCATGTAGCAAAGATCACCCCATTGGTACAGGAAGTAGCGGTATACATAGATACTGTACGGCTCAGAGAGATCCTTTGAGATTAGTTGGCGGATGGCGGGGAGATATTGTTCTTCCTTGGAAGGCTCGTATTGTATATATTGGAGATCCGAATCCTTTAGATCCTTTGGGTCGCCAGTCTTTGGTGCATCAGTCGCAGACAGGCTGTCGTCACTTTCGGCCATTTCGCGCGTGGAAGTCAGTGTCGAAGCGGGCAGCAAGTGGAGGTAGTTTGGACAAGGCTGCGGAGAGGACCCCCGGCTTGGCAAACGGGCGCAACGTGCTCTGGAAGACCCTTGTGTCGATCGTTCCGTCACATGCCGGAGGATTCGGACATTTATGAACGGAGCAAAATAGACCCTTTGTGCAGAAGAAACTCTCCTGGTTTCTTCTCACCAACTTTCTTTTTCACCTTGGATTCTCCTTTACTGGTATCTGCAGATGTCTTTTCTGAGACGTCGCTTTGGCGGCGGCGACGGCGGCAACGGCGGCGAAGGAGAGGACTCGACGCCTGAGTTCTCTCGCGAACCCTCACCAGGAGCAGATGGTAAACGGCCAGCGAATCTGCGGGTGATCACCGCGGAACAACTGGCGACATTGAAACAAAAGGGAAAGCACAAGAAGAGGAATAATGTCTGGGTTTTTGTTCTTGGTGGCTTATTCGGACTGCTGGCTGCGGGGTTTTTTGCGAGCAACAATGACATGATTGACCTGACGAGTCTGGGGGAAGTGAACCTGGAGAGCATCCTAGAGGCACTACCAGAGAACTTTGTGAAGAGTGCGCAGCAGCTTCAGGTATGCGCACTCTTTCTGTGTGTAGAGGAGGTCTCGAGGACAGTAGAGAGAGAGAGAGAGAGGGATGGAGGCTGACTTTCACCCCTCCACTAGAAAACCGAACGAGACGCCGTAAACTACGATTCCTTTGCCGTCGGGCTACACGCGAAGAAGCAGGGCATAAAGGCTAAGCACCCGGTTATCATGATACCCGGCGTCATCTCCACGGGCCTGGAGTCTTGGGGTACAGAGGAAAGTTCAAGGCAGTACTTTCGCAAGAGACTGTGGGGTTCATGGACAATGATGCGCGCATTGGTTATGGACAAGGCTCAATGGAAGCGCCACATCATGCTCGATAAAGATACTGGGCTCGATCCACCAGGCGTCAAACTGCGCGCGGCACAAGGATTCGACGCAGCAGACTTCTTCATAACGGGATACTGGATCTGGAACAAGATTCTCGAGAACCTCGCTACGGTCGGATATGATCCTGGAAACGCTTTCACAGCAGCCTACGACTGGCGCATGTCATACATGAACTATGAAATCCGCGACCAATACTTTACCCGTCTCAAGTCGCACATCGAAGTCGGCGTCCGCGTCTCGAACCAAAAAGTCGTGCTCCTCTCCCACTCCATGGGCTCCCAAGTGCTGTACTACTTCCTCCACTGGGTTGAAGCAGAAGGCTACGGCAACGGCGGCTCAGACTGGGTAGACAAGCACATCGACTCGTGGATCAACATCTCCGGCTGCATGCTGGGCGCCGTCAAAGACGTCCCCGCCGTGCTCTCTGGCGAAATGAAAGACACAGCCCAGCTCAACGCCTTCGCCGTCTATGGCCTGGACCGCTTCCTCTCGCGCTACGAGCGCGCCGAGCTCTTCCGCGCCATGCCCGGTCTCTCCGCCATGCTGCCCCTCGGCGGCAACGCCGTCTGGGGCGACGAGACGGGCGCGCCCGACGACGCACCCGGCCAAAACGAAACCTACGGCCGCTTCCTGCGCTTCCGCAACTCAAACTCGACCTTTACAAGCAAAAACATCACCGTCGACGAAACCCTGCCCTTCCTCTTCCGCAACACAGAGCCCTGGTTCAAGAAAATGGTCCTCTCCTCGTACTCGCACGGCGTCGCACACACGACAAAGCAAGTAGAAGACAACCAGCTTCTCCCGGCCAAATGGATCAATCCCCTCGAAACTCGGCTCCCGCTCGCCCCGAACCTGAAGATTTACTGCTTCTACGGTATCGGCAAGGAGACGGAGCGCGCGTATTACTATCGCAGCGATGATGATCCCGTCAGCGAGTTGAACGTTACCCTCGACACGACGTATACCCACGGCAATGTCGACCATGGCGTTGTCATGGGCGAGGGCGATGGCACCGTCAATTTGCTCAGTAGCGGGTACATGTGTACCAAGGGCTGGAAAATCAAGAGGTACAACCCCGCCGGCGTCAAAGTGACGACGTTTGAGATGAGGCATGAGCCTGATCGCTTTAGTCCCAGAGGTGGACCGAATACTGGTATGTTTTTTCTTCTTCTTCTTCTTCTTCTTTTCTCTCTTCTCTCTTTGTTTTCTTCTGATTTGCTGTTTGTTTTCTGACGAGGGTAATTAGCGGATCACGTCGATATCCTGGGTCGCATGTCCTTGAACGATTTGATCCTGCAGGTTGCGGGGGGACGCGGTGAGTTGATTGAGGAGACGATTCATTCCAATATCCGCGAGTATGCGGAAAAGGTCAAGATATACGAGGAAGAGGATTGAGAGCTTTTTGAGTTTTCTTTTTCCAGTGCGTGAAGCTGGGAGAGTTGTTTTTTTCGCGTAAGCAGTGTGGAGGAAATATGGAAACATCTTATGCGTTCATGGGCGTATTTGGGAATATGGGGGATAGAGCTGGATGGGTGGGCTGACTTAAGTGACTTGAGAGCATGATACCATAGACCAACAAAGTGTGTTTTTTTCCCTCTCTTCATTTGCATTATCTTGTATATATATTTCCCTATCATTATAGGTCTATCATCTTACTTCTTCTCCTCTAGACTCAGACCCTCGATGGCCTTCTCACCACCCTCGGCGCCCACATCTACAGTTGCCTTGTCTTCACCCTCAACATGGCCGTCAGGCTTGGCCTCGACATTCCTCTTCGGGTGGAAGGTACCCTTGTTTTTGACCTTCTTCTCCTTCTTGACTACAGGTGGTGGCGGGTATGCCTTTTGCTCAATCTCCTTCCACTCGGGATTGGCCTGGAACTCCTTTTGTACAGGCTCAAGCAGGGTGATGAGGGCTTCTGTGACGGCAGGCTTGAGGTCCTGGGGAGTGAGTATGTCGCTTCGGTAGTCCTCCTGCATCTTCGCAATGTCAGTGTAGACGAGGGGTTCGCCCTCGCGACGCTTGACGACAAACTTGGATTCACCGTGGATGAGATGGCCGGCGGGGAGGAGGACGTATTCGACGAAGCTGAGGACACCGTTTTCCTCGACCACCTTTGGCGCTGCATGCGCTTTCTTGAGCTTGCGCTTGACGACATCCGCATCGTCAAGAACATCAATCTTGGAATCTGGGTCGGAAGCACTCATCTTTCCACCTTGCAGACCGGGAACCATGGGGTTCATCAAGTGGGCGCGCTCCTTGTAGCCAATCTTGGGCAACACGTCCTTTGCGAGTGCAAAGATCTTACGTTGGTCTACACCACCAAACTGAACGTCTACATCGAGGTACTCCTCGTCGAGAGCTTGCATGAGAGGGTACAGAAGTCCACTGAGTGGCGCATTCTCCGTCTGTTTGACGACTTCGGCACCAGCCTTTTTCGCAGTAGCCTCGCTTGTTATACTCGCCAGCCTAAGAAGATCCATTGTGTAGTCCGCGTTCAATTCGTAGCTTGAGCCCAGCACAAACTCTAGTTTCTCGATTGGTACTTTGACCGCTTTCAGAAGAGCAGTAATGGTGAAGCGGTAGTACTGGGCGCGGAACTTGACGAGCTCAATAGGCGCTTTCAGATTGTCGAGGAAACCGTGGATATCAGCGAGGAGAATCTTAACATGGCAGCCTGCTGCGAGGAATTGTGCAAGCTTGAGGATAGGGACGAACTACATGGAGCTTGTCAGCACCGCACGCGACTCAATTCAAATTACACAATACGTACGTATCCGCAATGAGGCCGTCCTGTTGTCGCAGTACCCCAGTAGACTTTTAGGTGGCCCTGCTTCTTCAACGCCTCATCCATAATTTCCGGGTTCAGCACTTCAGCCAAGTTGACCTTGATGAGCGACATCTTTTCTTCAGCCGACAGGTTTGCGCCGGGGCCATCGTACGCAGCATCTTTGGCCTTTCGTAACCTTTCCTTTGCGTCTTTGAGTTGTGATTGCGCCTCTTCAATTCGCTTTTCGATTGCGGTAATCTCGTCTTGGATGGCGGCGGGGTCGGCCATTGTGTCGGCTATGGCGGGGTATAAAGAAGGGCGATTGGTGTGCTTTATGAAATTGAACGAAAGGAAAAGATGAAGAATTCAGATACAAGAAATTCAAGATAGCCAGAACACCGATTTATGGTCGTTCGAGCTCAGCTGGGGTGGATGTGGTGACTGCAAGCTTGAAGCGCGAGCTGAATGAGTCGTGGTGGGGCTGAGGGCCAGTCACCAAAATAACATTTACAGGGTCCAGTGCTGGCTGTGCCACACTCAATGTGGCGGGCTGTGTCCGCGATTCGGTAAGGCTACCTTCTCTGCCGTGATCTTAGGCGTACTATTAATCCATACATAGGAATATGAAAATAGGTTATTCAGAGAGACAGCTAAGAACATAAGCCTTAAGCTTGGCTCTTCCTATGTGACTATTACTGCACTTGTGGTGCCGCAGGGATTTGAAAATAATTCAACCAATAAGTCATCTTCCACCAAAAGTTCGCAGAGAAATGTGTTTTTTCATCGAGAAACAATGAAATATTTGGATATAGCCAGCAAGAAGTATTTATCTGCAAAGAGTTGGTTCACAAGCCCATCTAGTACTGTTCAAACGCGCAAGAATCGAGCTAGCGAGGCAACGCGCCTGCTAAACAAGTGTTTTCTGATAGTAATTATCTAACGAGTGTATAAACAAGAAGCCAAACAGTCTAGTAATGCAAAAGCTCAAACAGAAAGAAGAATCAGTAACCAAAAAGCCCAAAATCACCCATCGTGATCGTAAAAACGCCATCGCTATGAATACTCAAATCGTAAATGCCATGTCCCCAGACCGCCAAAACATCTCCGACCCACTTGCTTGTCTAAGCGCGTCAGATTTACTGACGCTTGCACTTGGCAAGGCATGTATCCATATCCTGAGCTAGGTTAGGAGGAATCTGCTTGCGGAACTCCTCAATATTGGACGCGTCAATGGAGCTAGGGAATCCCAGCGTAGCCTTGAGCACACCCGAGTTGAGAGCAAAGAAGTTCTGTGCAACCTGGCTGGTACCAGGGTCCTCGGAGTTGAGGGTAGCGACAAAAGTGGCGTTTTCGCAGTTGTTGTTGAACTGGAAGTGGATGGAGCCTTGGGGGAAAACGGTGCCCTCGAACTTGTTGAGGTAGCTGGCGACTTCGGGGTTCTCACCAGCCTTGACGAGGCCGTTTTCGAGGACGTAGCCGAACTCTAGGTTTTTGCCTTCGACGAGGGTGAGGAATTCGGTGGCGCGGGGGTGAACGTGAGGAGTGTTGATTCCACAAGGGGCGAGGAAACCAACTGTAGTGCTGATGCCGAGGCCGGTGAGGATGGGGAAGCTCTCGATGTTCTAGTTGGGATGTTATTATGAAGTTCTTGCTACTAACGTGTCACTAGACTTACAGCTGCAACAGCGACACCACCGTTGGCGCCTACTGGAGGAGGCGTGTTCCTGTCGAAGGTGAAGACGACCAACTTCCTCAATGCCTCTCCGGTGAAGAGAGTTTGACCTTGGGTGAGAAGCCTCTGGAAGCGCTTGATGGCCGTGGGGGCAGTGAAGAGGTCATCAAAAAGAGCATCCTGGTTGGCAGTAGGAGCCGGAGGTGCGACCGTGGTCGTAGTAGCGGTAGCATTGACGGTAGGAAAGCCCTGGGCTTGAGGAAGGGCTTGGACAGCTCCAAGAGTGAGGGCAGCGACAACGATTTTGGTGAAGGTGGACATGATCACTGATGAAGAAGCGAAGGCCTGGACAGTAAAGGAAAATGAGATAAGGAAAAGAGGAAAGAAAAGGAGATTGAAGTATGAGTTATTGTTTGTGAGTAAGGAGATGATTCTTCAAAATGTGTTCTACGGCAATATACTTATACCTCGATGCTCAAGTTCATCTTTCCAGCTTGATGACCATGTCTCAGACGGCAACTGGTGGTTCCGACGATAGCGTGATGGCTGTACAGTGCTTGTAGACCGCCAACTCATGGTGTGGTTTATTCGGGAACACATGTGCTCTGCTTATAGATTTTACAACCCATAAATATCTATTGGCCAGAATTGCAGGAAACATCAGCCTTTGCTCTAGGTCATCAGCCTCGCAGCGTGGGCGCTTGGCGAAGTACGCCTTGTTCGGGCAGTGCCACTTGTACACAAACGGAACAAAAGATCATGAGAATAAACAATTATTACGCCATGCCTGTGTATATAGATGACGCTGAAACAACTAAAAGATGACGTGGGAATAATGCGTCCAGGGTGTTCGGATGATGCCTACTCTACCGACTGGATGGAGATGCTGTTCTATTGAGAAAGAATGGGGCTCAAAGGCTTTGAAGGCTCCTGGCGTGGCGCAGAGAAACGGAATTTCAATGAGCCGTGCTATTTGAGAGGCTTTGTCGGTGGAGAACCATGTTGGTTTTTGTGGGGTTGGAATGAGTGGTGGTAAGCCTCCCCAGCTGGGCGTTGTTGCTGTCTAGCCCACCCGCTTAGCGACGTGAGTTCCAAAAATAGCTCTGAAGATAGTAACAAGCGCCAGCAAATCTTACCAATATACAACGGTGACGATTGCCGCGCAAGACGACAGCCATGCTAGTCACAAGAAGTAACACAAGACATCTTGCTTGGTAGTCAACGCTGAGCAATGCAAAAGGTAAAAACAGATTCATTTGGAGACCCGGTCATAACGCTACACAAAAGACAACGCCGCACAAACTCCTCGCTGATGAACGCCATGGCTTGAGAGCAAAGACGGACTAATTATGTGACAAACCCCCGGCCCGATTTCATTTCGCGTAAGTGAAGCCATGGTTCTTTTTTTTTCTTTACTCAAAGATACTATACTCAATATCAATGTTGTCGTGAGCTGTCCAAAAGGGAAGCTCGTCGAGGGTGAAGCCATCGTCGCTGGGGATGGAGGGCGGGCCTTTTGAGTGCAGCACTATTCCTTCTTCGGGTTCCTCGACTTCGAGGATGTTGTTGGTGTTTGAGACACCCCGATCTACAAAGATCAGCGACTCTCTTCTTGGCCCGCGTACACGTCGACGAAGCCGACGTGCGCTTGGGTCCATGTCGTCCAGGGGGTCGTTGTCGGAGTAGTCGCTATCGCCTTCAACGCTCTGGCTGTAGCTGCGTTTTTTGAAGATGCCGGCGCTCCACCGCTTTTTCTTTTGTCGGTATTTGAGCACCCGCTTCTCGTCGTCTGACGAGTCTTCCTCGAGCTGCAATTCGTTCATTCTGGCGAAGATTTCGGCCTTGACCCCGTTCCTTTCGCTCTTTGCGTCTTCGCAATGGTCCGGTTGGAGTACCTCTACATCGCAGTCGTAGCCAGGGTCGTCATCCAGCTCTTCGAGGATGAATTGGGCCTTTTCCACGCGGCGCAGGGGCGGCTGCTCTTCCGGCTCGCTTTCCTGGTCAGAATCATTCTCGTCGTCCGAGTCGCAGTCAAAGTCGGAATCTTCGCAGGTGGTGGCGGCGAAGGCGCGGTCCGAGTCTGACGAGGGGCGTGAGCATGGCTCGCACGACTGGGGGCGGGTGAAGCTGAATTGGTGGTTGAAGCCAGTGGGTTCGATGTACTCGAGGGGCGGTGTCTGGACGCAGCTGGCCATGCGCTTGTACTGTGGAGAGGGCTGGCGTGGTGGGGGTGGGAAGCGACTGTTTGCTTCGGGGCTGGGCGTCATGGGCGGCGACTGGAGGTGCCCGTTGAGAGTGGTGACTGGCGGCTGGTGGTGTTGGGCCATGGTGTGGAGAGATATGGGGGAGGGTGTGGATGGGAAAGATTGCGTCAGGCTGCTTGCAGCCAATTGCGAGGGCGTACGTATCAGTGGCACTGTGGACAAATTGATGCGAGTTGCTCAGGGGATCAGAGTCCGACGGGCGTGTCTAATCTTTGAAATACGGAAGAGAAGTTGCGCCGACTGTAGCATTCTGGAGGTGGCCCGAGAGTGTTTTACTGGGATATCTGAGCGGCGAGCTCGAGCGCAGAGGTGGAGAGGTTTTGGCAAGTCGAACCCTGCAACGCCTTGGCTTATCGTGCAGGAAGTCGAAGGGGAGAAGCTACGAGAGGCAGCAATGCAGCAGACGTCGCTCGCAGAGAACCGGTCAGTTGGGGCGGGCAATGCGGACAGTGTGAAGGGGGATGTGCACGAAGAAGAAGAAGGAGAGGAAGAGGACGAAGACAGGGCACAGTCGTCGAGGTTGGAATTGGCGGCAGCGCTTGAGTGAGAGTGCGTGGTCGGGTCGCCAATTATCAGCAGCGTTTCAGCAGTGAGCTGGCCGGCCAGGGAGCGGGTCTGCATTGCTGCCCTTCGCATGTGCAGCATCGCCTTGGTTGGACGGCTCGGGCGCTGGCACGCAATGTGGTCGCGAACGATTAGTCGCAGCAGCAACTCGGGCACGCTGCCTTGCGTCAGGCAGGATGGATGCCCAATGAGGTCAGCGAGCAAGATTATCCTGCACTGGGCGGCTAGGTGCTGGCACTGGCACTGGCACTGGCACTGGCACTGGCACTGGCACTGGCACTGGCACTGGCACTGGCACTGGCACTACACCAAGCACCGCGGCCAGCTGGCACAATCGCCGCATTGCTGACTTTGGCGGGGCCTTCGCTGCGCTACTTACTTGCCACAACCGCCCGCCCGGCCCAGCGCTGCCGGCCATGGGAGATTTGCGACGCGGCCCGCCAAAGTGAGGCTCTGCCCACGGACGCTCAGGTGCAACGTGTGGCCGCGCTGTGCTGTGCTGTACATACACGCCATGGCCGGGCATTGTATTGTCGTCGACGTTCCAGAAATTGAAACACGCCTCTCGACCGGTGGCCGATGCACGCACCATGCATGCTGCCAGCAGATACTAGCTGCCATGTACATACCTAGCACCATACCATACCATGCCATGCCATACCACGCCCAGGGCGAAGACGTCTCGAGGCCGCTCACGTGACCAGTGGTGGGGAGTGTACGCTAGCACCACATCCGGCCTAGCGCCCCTCTGAGGACAATCCGAATGTTGCGTGGCATATCGAACATTGGCCTGAGCAGCTCAGGCCGAGGCAGCCACAACCACACACAATCGCAAACACCGTCTTTCTTTCTCTTGTCCATATACCCCGGCTCCCGTGCGCCCGCCCTCTCTTGCATTGACTCCTACGTGGCCCACCCTGAAGCGGCGGCTTCGTCCTCAATCCCGCCATGTCGTCGTCTCCCTCCATGTTGACCAAGGTACACAGCTCTGCGCTTTGTATATGCTAACACGCCAGCTGACCCGCACCAGTTCGAGTCAAAGTCCTCGCGTGCAAAGGGCATTGCTTTTCACCCAAAAAGGTACCGCCGCCCCCCGACTATCTGGGCCACTTGTTCTCTGCTGACTGCCCCAAAAGGCCATGGATCCTCGTATCGCTACACTCGTCGACTATCCAGCTATGGGACTACCGCATGGGAACCCTCATCGACCGCTTCGAAGAACACGACGGGCCGGTCCGCGGCGTAGACTTCCACAAGACGCAGCCATTGTGAGCATTCTGCACCACCTGGCCATTTCCATAGCCATATACTGAGACGCGCGCAGGTTTGTCTCGGGCGGTGATGATTACAAGATCAAGGTCTGGTCATACCAGACGCGGCGTTGTCTCTTCACATTGAACGGCCATTTGGACTATGTCCGAACCGTCTTCTTCCACCACGAGCTACCATGGATACTGAGTAGCTCCGACGACCGTAAGCGCATGTCACCATCGGCCGACATGCTCGCTAACACACACCAGAGACCATCCGTATATGGAATTGGCAAAATCGTAAGTGTCTCCAGTCCCTTCTGCAAAGCGTTGCTAACATGTCCAGGTTCGCTGAGTAAGTTCATCATGTCGAGCCCTCGCAGCCGTCCAATCTAACCCCGCCCTAGTCTGCACCATGACTGGCCACAACCACTACACCATGTGTGCGCAGTTCCACCCCAAGGAAGATTTGATTGTTTCCGCCTCGCTCGATCAGTCGGTTCGCGTTTGGGACATTTCAGGGTTGAGAAAGAAGCATTCCGCACCACAGGCCATGTCCTTCGAGGACCAAATGGCACGCACCACCCAGAACCAAGCAGACATGTTCGGAAACACCGATGCCGTTGTCAAATTCGTCCTCGAAGGCCACGACCGAGGTGTGAACTGGGTCGCATTCCACCCCACATTGCCATTGATTGTTTCCGCCGGTGACGATCGCCTCGTCAAGTTATGGAGGATGTCAGAAACAAAGGCGTGGGAGGTGGACACTTGTCGGGGACATTTCCAGAACGCATCTGCGTGTTTGTTCCACCCCCACCAGGACTTGATACTCTCGGTTGGCGAGGACAAGACAATCCGTGTATGGGATCTCAACAGGCGAACATCGGTCCAGTCTTTCAAGAGGGAGAACGACCGCTTCTGGGTCATCGCAGCACATCCTGAGATCAACCTGTTCGCTGCTGGGCACGACAATGGAGTAATGGTGTTCAAGCTGGAGCGCGAGCGCCCCGCATCCGCTGTGTACCAGAACAACCTCTTCTACATCACCAAGGAGAAGCATGTGCGCTCGTATGATTTCCAAAAGAACCTCGAATCGCCGTCAATGCTGTCTCTCAAGAAGCTGGGAAGCGCCTGGGTACCCCCGCGGACACTCTCCTACAACCCTGCTGAACGCTCAATCCTGGTTACATCTCCAGCGGACAGCGGAACATACGAGCTCATCAGCCTTCCACGTGACGCTTCAGGAGCAGTAGAACCCACCGACACCAAGCGCGGCTCTGGAAACTCTGCTGTATTCGTGGCTAGGAACCGATTTGCAGTCTTCAACCAGGCCAACCAGCAGATTGATATCAAGGACCTCAGCAACTCCACCACCAAGACCATCAAGCCTCCTCATGGAACAACTGACATATACTTTGGTGGAACCGGCAACCTGCTGTTGATTACACCTACCTCTGTTGTTCTTTATGACATCCAAGCCAAGAAGAACCTTGCTGAGCTGTCTGTGAATGGCGTAAAGTACGTTGTCTGGTCATCGGATGGACTGCATGTGGCGCTCCTGAGTAAGCACAATGTCACGATTGCGACAAAGAACTTGGAGCAGGTTAGCACTCTGCATGAGACGATTCGCATCAAGAGCGCAGTCTTTGACGACACTGGAGTCTTGCTTTACTCTACCCTGAACCACATCAAGTACAGTTTGATGAACGGTGACAACGGAATTGTCCGTACCCTCGAACAAACCGTATATCTCGTCAGGGTCAAGGGCCGCAACGTATACTGCCTGGACCGAGCCGCGAAACCCAAGATCCTCCAGATTGACCCTACCGAGTATCGATTCAAGCTTGCCCTGGTGAAGCGAAACTACGACGAGATGCTCAACATTATCAAGACTTCAAGCTTGGTTGGACAGAGCATCATCTCCTACCTCCAAAAGAAGGGATATCCTGAAATTGCTCTTCAGTTTGTTCAGGATCCCCAGACACGATTCGAGCTTGCCATTGAATGCGGCAACCTTGAGGTTGCGGTAGAGATGGCAAAGCAACTTGATCGCCCCAAACTCTGGCAGCGATTGAGCAACGAAGCATTGGCACACGGCAACCATCAAACCGTAGAAATGACATATCAGAGTAAGTAAATCTAGCATTTGATACGAACCTCGCTAAACATTGGACAACAGAACTACGAAACTTTGATAAGCTGTCGTTCCTCTACCTTACAACAGGTGATCAGGACAAGCTGAAGCGTATGGCCAAGATTGCAGAGCATCGCGGAGACATGACCGCCCGATTCCAGAACGCACTCTACCTGGGTGACGTGCAGAATCGGATAGAAATGTTCCAAGAGCTCGACCTGTACCCACTCGCATATGCTACCGCCAAAGCCCAAGGCCTCGAGGAGCAAGCACAGTCAATCTTGGAAGCTGCAGGTGTCTCGGAAGACCAGATCAAGTTGCCTTCGATAGGCAGCCCTCTTGCACCTGTGAAGCCCATCGTCCCAACTTACCAGGCAAACTGGCCGACGCGCGCGGCTTCTTCGACTGTCTTCGAGAAGGCTCTTCAAGGCGAGGTTGAAGGCATTGGATCCGAGGAGCCTGCAGCCAACAGCTATGGTGATGAAGACCTGCTCGGCGAAGCAGAACCTTCTGGTGGTGCAGCCGATCTTGGGGGTGACGAAGAAGATGACATTGGTGGATGGGACATGGGCGATGATGCCGAGGTTGAGGCAGAGGACGATTTCGTCGAGATTGAGGGTGCTGAAGCCGGTGCTGGAAGCAGCGAAGCCGACCTCTGGGCACGGAACTCACCTTTGGCAGCGGACCACGTCGCGGCAGGCTCCTTTGACACCGCCATGCAGCTACTCAACCGCCAAGTCGGTGCAGTCAACTTTGCCCCTCTCGAGGAGCGCTTCCAAGAGATCTACCAAGCGACACGGACATTTTTGCCCGCTACGCCCAACATGCCATCATTGGTCAACTATGTACGAAGGACAGTGGATGAGACCGACTCGCGGAAAATCTTGCCGATTATTCCACGGGACTTGGAATCTATACTGTCTAACGACTTGACTGCTGGCAAGCAAGCTCTGGTCAAGAACAAGCTGGAAGATGGTATTGCCACATTCAGGAAGCTACTGCAGCTCATCATGGTCAATGTTGTCTCGTCTCAAGCCGAGCTCTCTGACGTAAGTCTCCTCAAGCGTTGTACACTAACTCTGCAACTAACAGACTATTCTAGGCAAGGAAGGCGATCAACACTGCTACCCAATACATTCTCGCCATGACTATTGAGCTGGAGCGCCGCAAACTGCTCAACGGTGCTACCGACATCTCTGGGCTCTCTGATGCGGACAAGAAGCGTGTGCTCGAGCTATCAGCCTACTTCACCATACCCGAGGTTGAAGGCCCGCATAAGTCAATCCCACTTTCGGCAGCTATGAATTTTGCACACAAAAACAAGCAGCTAAACACTGCACTCAACTTTGCTAATGCGCTGCTTGATCGCACTGGTAATGCCAAGATGAAGGAGTCAGCCAAGCGGGTCAAGACGATTGCCGAGAGGAATCCCAGCGATGCGATTGAGATTGACTTTGACCAATTTGCCGACTTTGACATTTGCGCTGCTAGTCTAACGCCCATCTACGCTGGACAGCCATCGGTCACGAGTCCATACAGCGGAGCCAAGTACCACGCTAGGTACAAGGGTACCGTGTGCAAGATTGATGGCATCAGTCAGATTGGAGCACCGGCCAGTGGACTGCGACTTGTTGGATAAGAAGTGGGTGGTGGTGGGGGGTTTTCGTAGTAGTGCTTGATGGGTTAACAAACTTGTATGCTTAGCGTTTTCAATGACACTTTGTCGGCAAAGGGGGAATAAAAGGAGGAAGGGGGAGGGGGGGAAGAGGAAAAAAGGGCATATGGACAGGCAAAGATTGGAGGGAGCAAAGAAAGAAAGTTTCCGTGGCTTTCTGTCTTTGTCTTTTTTGTCTTTGCTAAGCTTCTGTACTAGAGGAAACTGAGAAAATGCGATACGAAGTATAATGTTGAATTGAAATTTTTTTGATGATTGAATCATGGGCTTGATTGGTTTTGGTGTTGCTGGTGCTGTTGAGAGGGGCGCTTGTTTTTTTTTCGTTGATATGAAGTGACGTATGTATATGTGTTGGATGAGGAAGCAGATTTCCCTGCTGAAGCATGTGAATGTGAATGTGAATGTGAGGGTCGATGAGGGGAGGAAAAGAGAGATGGAACTGTGATGACATAAATAATAGCGTTAGTGTGGAAAAGACAAGGATGATGTTCCTGTTCCTGATGCTATTTCCATGTCAAAATGTCTTTTTTTTTGAATGAATGGCTTGATCATTATTTTCATGGTTCAAACCAAGGGGGAAGGGGAAATTGCATATGACTGCAAAAAGGGTTTTCAGAAAATTCTAGAGTTTATTACGACATGCATATTGGTGTTGCTTTCTTAAAAGGTCGTATGTGTGTGAGAGAGAGAGAGAAAAAAAAAGGAAAGGTTGATATTCAAGCATAGATAAAGGAAAAGAGGTATCAAGCGTGATTACACAAAAAAGAAAAAAAGTCAGAGAAGGCCCCCTATACTCCAGTCTTTCGCCCAACCAAATTTGCCACATTTTCGTCCTCATTGTTCACATCGTCCATGTCTTCAATGGTGTCCTAGCAAAAAAATATGTTTTTTTTTCTTTGTTGTGAAAAGCTTCGTTATGTCGACGTGACTTTGATCATGTTTGGTCCTTTGGGGATCACCGCGAGATGCTTAGGCCTTGGCTGGTGGTGGGCCTGGTGGTGGTGCATAACCGCCTCCGCCATAGGTAGGCTGGGGCGACTGAAGCTCGACACCATTCTGCTGACCGTAGTAGGTTTGATTTGCGCCGCCGCCATAGTAGCCGTTGTTGTTGTTTGTGGCGGCGTCATAGGGTGGAGCGGGTTGGTTTGCGTAGTATGGCTGGGCGTTGTACTGGTTGTTGTTTTGGTTGTTGTAGAGGCCAGGACGAGCGGCCCAGCCTGTTCCGTAGAAGGGCCTGCGACCGGCCTTGCGGCGGCGACGCGCTGTTAAGCAGCTGTGGGTGGGTGTTAGTTTGTGCTTTCTGAGAATGGATGTGGTGATAGACAATGGACTTACGAGCAGAGGACAAAGAGCAGGAGGAAGCCGACAACGACGACGACGAGGACTACCCATCGGACCCAATTGTTCCAGGCTGAGCTTCTGCAGCGCCTGTAGCCATTGATGTCGATGTAACACCTAGCCATGGTGTGTTAGAGTGATGGTTGTCGGTGTCGAAGTTGTTGCAATATGCAAAAGTGTAGTAGTAGGAAAGGAGGATGCGTGGAAACTGGGGCTGAAAGCATGGAGAAAACCAGGGTACAAGTACAAAGAAGCTGGCTTGATATTGGCAGAGGTAGAGTATGAGAAGATGCCGATAGAAGCGGATTCGAATGACGTTGTGACGTCGTATGTTGCAAAGGGCCCAAGGCGAGTTCTCATACCCTAGCCACTGATGCCGATAGCCGGGCAAGCTCGCGCACACGCAGTAGCAACGCACCGCCACTCTTGGAAACATGAAGATCAGCGGCGCACAAACTTACCTGTCGTCATCCCAGTAGATCTGTCTAGCGTTCAGATGCATCGTTTTAGCAGGACAGGTTATCGATCGGGAGGTAGTATGGAGTGGGTGAGGGAAATAGAAGGGCGAGTGAGAGGACACAGCAGAGGAATGACGAAGTGCATGACCATATAAGCCGGAGGAGGCAGGGATCCGGCGGGCGCTCAGCCACACACCAAGAGAGCAACCCCGCTTGGCACGACGTGGAAAGAGTTTGGCCGCGCAGACGATCAACGGCTCCTGCGCCAGCATGGGTGACGACCACGACGACGACTACGAGTGCATCTGTGCCCGGACGGTGCTAGCGCCAACGAGAAGCCTCTAGACGGGCGTTGAGGGGGGAAATGTCGGTGCAAACGTCGCTGCGGCCTTTTGGCGTAGTACGTACTCAGCCCTGCGGAAATGGTCCAGCTCGTCCGCTTCTACACTACATACATACGTCATCTGACCAAACACACCACCGCCCGGTCCGGCGCCCTATGGACGGCGCTGGCCACTGCCGTACTGCAGCTTGCGAAGCAGCAATGAAACAACGAAACACATACGTCGGCTGTCGAGCAAGGGGGCTTTGTTGCGTCGTGTTTCCTCCATTGCATGCGCCTGTTTGAGGTTGAGGTGTATGTATGTTGTAGAGTAGTCGCATCCATCATGCTGTCTGTTACGCTCGGGACGTATGCCGGGCCTAGGCCGAAAACGAGCACTAGGCGTTGAAGCTGGACGCCGGTGGTGTGAGACAGTGGCGCGCCACTGCTGAGTTGTCCGTGGATTGGACTCAACATGGACTTTGTACGAGATGGCGCTGGCGTTGTGGTTGACTTGTCGTGTTGTAAGCATTGATGGGCGAGGGAGGCCATGTGCATGGCACAATTGCACGTACACCTACTAATAGAGAAGCAAGCAAGTAAGCTGCTGGCCCATGCTGTTACCACCAGTTGAGGCTTACATATACTACACTTGCATATCACTATACGCACCTAGTATGTACCTGGCTACATGATGTATACGTACGTACATTGTACGTTTACATGTGCACGTCTGTATCCTTACAGTAGTCGACCGTTCCACCCCCACAATCCTTCTTCACCCACGCCACCAGCATGCCCCAAAGCCGTTCACGCCAGACGTCCCTCGCCCCGCCAGCTCATCGGTTCGGTGGGCTACGACCCTTGGGCAGGCCGGGGGGTTGCAGCGCTCGCGACGTGTCGGCCCAATGAGGGCCTCGGAGCGCAGCGTTGGCCGCCAGACGCTAATGCAGGATGAGTTGTTCAACTGGTGCTGGCATGGATTTGCCTGGGGCCCGCCAATCTGCCAGCCTGCATTGTGCGAAATAATAGTTGTTTGTCCCTCACCGTCGCTTCTCGTCGCTTTGTGCATTGATCCTCTTCTCTCCTTGGGGCCCTTGCTGTCATCTCTGTCCGTCAAGTCGTCGGCCCAAGCCTGTCTCTGCGCCTCCCCGTGCCACCCAAGTCGTTCCCCCCGTCAACCTGGCCCGTTTCAAACAACCACAACCCCCGGACCGCTCGCTCTGCAAGAAAAAAACAAACAAAATCCACGAGCTGCACCAGGACGGGCGCCCGCAATTGCCTTCCATCCTCCATCCCCCGCCCTATTTCCACACGCTGTCAGAACAAAAACCCGGCGTTCACGCGCCCCGGCGCACGAGGCTTTCGAGTCACGAGCAAACTCAACACACAGACTAGTCACCAGAGACTACAAGATTCCATTCTACCGCTGCCACTCTCAGGTCACTCCTCATGGAGCCGCACAAGGGATCAAGCACGCGCAACTAAACCATGTTCAAACCCGCTCTCGGACTCCCCTCCCACATCTTCTCACCACTTCTTAACACCCACAACATGGTCGCTCCAATATAAAACAATCAAAACCATACAGGACGGAACATGGCCTGCCGCCATAATACTAGTAATATAAAAAAAGCCGTAAACGAGTCGAGAGCTAGGGGAACTGGATTGGCCATCGCTAGCCTGCAGAGCGATCTGCCCGTCTTTTCTTCCATCAAGTCGTAAGAATCATTAAAGATATCGTAGAAAGCTGACGACCGTAACTCGTAAGAATCAAACAACGTCGGCGGCCGTAAAAAACTGCCATCAAAAAACACAAACCCGAACCGAATGCGTTGCGAGCGTCGTGTGGCCCATAAGACCCCGTCGGTCACGTTACCGCCCGATTGAATACAAACAACACAAACTTCCTCATTTGCTGGCCCGAGCAATCAGCCACTGCAGCACAGCGTCCAGATTCGTCTCTTCCTTTGCGCTGATGCCGTAGCAGCTCACTTCGCGGTGCGACACTGACTTGAGGTCCAACGCCTCGATCAGCTCATCCACCGAAAGCTTGTTAGGCAAGTCCGACTTGTTGCCCAAGACAAGGAGCGGGATTCCCTCCAGAGCCGGCTTTTCCAGCAGCAGCTTGAGCTCCTCGCCAGCAACGGGCAAGGCCTCTTTGTCAGCCGAGTCGACGATGAACCTGTTCCGATAAGCACAAGTCAACCACCATCACATGCGAACCACACGTACACAATGGCATTTACCCCGCGGCAGTACCGCTCCCACATGGAACGAAACCTAGGCTGGCCTCCCAGGTCCCAACTGTTGCCCATGGTCAGCAGATGCGCCTTGGTCTAGCTCTCGTTCCCCCACCCCGCAAGCCTCGCTCAAACGGGAATGGCGCTGCAAGAGCCGAACGTGCGTGACCTAGGACTGAGATGAAGAATACTTACCACTTCAAGGTGACATGGCCTTTCTGCACACGCTTCATGTTGAAGCCAACGGTGGGGATGGAGCTAGGACCATTGTCAGCGCATGGACCCCACTACCATGACGCTCATGGTTGCGCGAAGCAGTAGCATCGCCATCGTCGTGAAACATTGTCGCCGTATGCTTGCGCACCTCGCGACTAATTCTAACTTACTCAACAGTGAACTCTCCGCCCTAGACAGCAATCGGTCAGCTCGCCATCTACCAGAATGAAGCACGGCAGAATGTCATCGTCATTCTCCGCATCAGGAAGCGACTCACCGCCAGAACCCTCAACAGCGACGTCTTGCCAGCGTTTTGCAATCCTATCATGGTGATGTCCATCTCAGTCGCCCTAGATGATGTGAGCAGTCAGCGTCTTCCATCTCAGGCCATCACCGCCCGTGACTTTGCCTTTCTTTTGGGGGGGTTGCTGGAGCCGGCCAGTTGAGAAGCATCAAATAGCGCACGAGACATGCCAGGCGCAGGCTGGTGATGAACAGAAAGCAGACAGGTAGGCGTACCAGAATAGGCGGAGCAGCCAGTCGTAAATGCGACGGAAGAGGTTCGTCATGGCCGTTGTCGCGATGGGATACTGACTCGATGGTGTTGCAGTCTGGTTGGGAGGATTGGTGATGTACGAGCGATGGAGGAAGCCTGGGAACCTTGATCCTTGCTGCGGGGCATGTAGTAGGCGTGATCGCCGGGTAGTTAGCAGTAGCAACCGCAAAATGACGACGGGTCAACCGCGACTGGAGATGCAGAGAGGTGCCAGGCAATGCTGTGAGGAAGTAGAGAAGCAGAGCTGTGCCGCCCTAACGAAAGCCAGGAGTGGTTCACGCTGCAGCACAGTGATGGAGCCGCCGCGGCGTGTGACTTTGGGCCCATGGCGCTAGACAGGGGTCTGCCGATGTGGCCTACCGGACTAGTCTAGGAAAAAAAGTTCGAGATTGGCATCGCAACTTTCATCATCCATCGCCCTTGCAGCTCGCCGTGCACACCCTCACAGCTCTGCTTGCTGTTGTCCCCCGAAATCGCTCGTCCATGACCCCGTGAGCTGCGCCATCTTTTCCTTCATTGTTCCTCAACTGCAGAGCACAGCCCGCTCGCGGAAACCATGGCGCCTGCCGCAAGCGCAACGAGCAAGCCACAGCCGCAGTGGTCGACAAAAGTAGGTCTTTGCCTATGCTCTTTGCCAATCCACGAGCCTAACTGTCCTCCCAGTTTGATACTCTCAGGCGACACGACCTGTTCCGCAACCCGCCCAAGGACAAGACAGCCTACCCGACCCTCGCAGCCGCTGTCGATCCCCACATCAATTCGTTCAACGCCATCTTTGCTCCAGGCGGACAGCTGGCCGAGGGCATACGAGACATTGGCACCAAGGTCTTCCTTGACGGCAACCCATATGCCACCCCCGAAGAGACAGGTCCCCGCAACAGGCTGCACCTGCGCATACAAGATGTCTTCCTCGACAAGCCTGTCCTGCCGCCCACCAACAAGGTCGCCCTCAAGAATCGCAACATCCTTCCCGCAGAGACTCGCGAACGACACGCCACATACCGCGGCAAGATGCGCGCACGATTAGAGTGGAGGGTCAACAACGGCGATTGGCAGGAAGAGGTTGTTGATCTCGGCTCAATCCCCATTATGCTCAAGTCCAATCGCTGCCATCTCGAGGGTCTCCCACCAGCAGCTCTTGTCAAGGCCAAAGAAGAGAGCGACGAGCTTGGTGGCTACTTCATCATCAACGGCAACGAAAAAATCATCCGTATGCTCCAGGTCAACCACCGAAATTACCCCATGGCCATCAAGCGTGGCGCCTTCACCAATCGTGGTCCCGGTTACACCCAATTTGGTATCCAACTTCGATCAATGCGACCCGACCAAACGTCACAAACAAACGCTCTACATTATCTCAGTGACGGCAACGTCAACTTCCGCTTCTCATGGCGCAAGGCTGTACGAACCATCATGTCCCTTGTTATTCGGTTTTTGTGCTAATATGTTTCCCCAGGAATACCTCGTACCAATCTGCATGATCCTCAAAGCATTGGTCGAGACGAACGATCGGGAAATATTCGAAGGCCTCGTAGGCGCAGCAGGATCTGAAGGTCTTGAACAGAAGCAGTTTGTAACGGATAGAGTAGAACT